TTTTAGAACATTTAAATAAAACCTGTGAGACAGTGAGAGAGTGCTGTTTGTTTGCTTGTTTATAAAACATATTCTCCTTTTAAGTAAAAGCAGACTGAAGAGCAAGCCCGAACTACTTAAAAAACCCTGTAGTAACCACAACAAATGATGTACAAACACACACAAACTCTTTGTGCGTACAGTTAACCAGATGACCAATGCCCCAGAAAAGGGCATGTGCATGCCCTACCTCAAGGACCTGCCACACTTTTTTCCCATTTAATCTTATGCCTGTACGTGAGAAAAGGGATCAGCATTCTATTCTGGAAACTTGCAAGCAGAGAGCTTCCAGGAAGGTGTAAAACAAAAGATGACTTCATTCAGGGTAACAGCAGTAGGTGTAGAATAAAATCACTACTTTTGTTTAACCAAGAGTGAGACCATAACTATTTTGCAGATCCATTTCATCTGTCAAAAATTGATATGGTCCCAATTCATAAAATAACACAATAAAGCTTAAAGGCACGATTCTATCTCGATACATATGAACACATGCTACATAAAGCAAGGAAATATATAAACATGGCTGTTTACAAGCCAGTTGGAAAGCATAATAACCAAAAATATACATCACACTATCTTAACAAAATAATGTTTAATGATGACAGTTTAAGTTTGCAATTACATGACATTCTTGAGCAAAATATCACTTCTACTTATGGCAAAAGATTTAAAACTGCAAAAACAAGCGAAGCATTTATTCATTTATATGCCATTTCAAGATGAAAAACCCTGCCAAGGGCAACACTATAGCAGTGTAGCACATCTTTCTTCCTCTTTTTTCTTTTACAGAGCAGTAAAGGTAAAAAGAAGTTAAAGGAAAAAAAAAAACACAAAACAAGGCAGTATCTACATCTACTGGCAATATCTAATGATCAATGAATCTGCTACTGAAATAAATTTGCTTAAAACAAAGCTCTTGCTTTAATGGTTTTTACACAGCAGGCTCCTGATACAAAGAGGGGATGACTGATGCTGGCTTACAATATGGTTCTATAGTAAACTGTGCCAGTATTACTATCAAATCACCTCTTATGAAACTCCCTTTCTGCCCACCATGTAATCAATTTAACAAAGATCTAAACAACTTAACAGTTCAAACATTCAAATATATCCCATTCTCCTCCTTCCCATCTACGCTTATTAGAAGAATGAAAGTCACAAGTCACTGGAACACCAGAAATTGTTTTATCTGTTTACTTTATTAGACAAAACTGCATATTGAATTCAAGTGAGTCTTGAAAAACAGAAAAGGCTTCACACTTCACAATATGTGAGAAATAAGACGAGCACCAATTCTAAGGCACAACACAAGAGTTATACCTGACCTGAGGAGCTTACTCACAATGTGTCTAAAAGAGCAAAAATAAAACTTCATCTGCAAGAAATTTCACGTCAGTTTTGTCCCTGTAACAGAATACCCAGATAATCACACTATGGGGTTTTACATAAAAGGAAACTGGTGAAAAGAAAAAGCCCATCATCCAGACAGAATAAACACTATTTTCAGCTTTATAATCTGCAAAACAAGTAGCTTGACATAAATCTACATGGGAAATAAAGAAATACAGTCAGGATGAGAAGGCAAATTAGAGAAGCCTTCTTTCCCCAATCTAGCATTTCTCTTCTGCCTCCTGAAGTAAAACCACTTCAATCACACTCGCATCACAAAATCAATACAGAAAGACAAAAAAATGGTTAATGAAGAATATAGAAAGCATGAAGGAAATTCATTTACAAGCTGAAAAGAAAGAGCAAAACTAAGGATGACAGACAGAAAGGGTGGCAGATTGTATGACTGAAACTACCTCAGCCTTCTAATTGACAGGATTATATAAACAGGATGTACTGATATTTTTAGGAGCAGAAATAAGAAAGATACACCAACTGGTGCAACAGGTAAGATATGATTCTGTAGTTTATTTTAAAATTGTATTTAGAATATGTAAGGCCAGTTTTAAGTCACAGCAACATAATCACATATATACAAAGAGACCTTCAGAGAGAGGTCATATAGTCAAACCTCCAATTCAAAGTGATCCTAGCAAGAACAGGGTGCTTGGGGGCTTTGTCTAGTTCAATTTCCCCAATGATGGAGATTCCAGTCTCTCTTGAATTTTGTGGGGTTTACATTTCTGAGTTTGTTTCTTTCTTTCTTTTACAGAGTCACAGCGTCCCTCTTCCTAGTGTGTCCCTACTGCTTCTTGTCCTTCCATTGTGCCCCTGAGACGAGTTCAGCTCTGCTCTCACCCACATCCCACAACTTGGTAGCTGTGCTAAAACTAAACAAGTACCTACTCCTTCCTATTTCTCTTGTTAAATTTTTAATCATATCAATTATAATTCTTTCTTTTTCAAAGGTAATCAGTCTCACTCCTTCCTATTTCTCTTGCTAAATTTTTAATCATATCAATTATAATTCTTTCTTTTTCAAAGGTAATCAGTCTCATATAAGCAGAGACATGTATGCTTAAGTAAGCACAGTTTGTAATTTTTTTCTGTCAGCAGCAGAATTTGACATACACTCCCAACTTTTTTTGGTTTATTGTTTAGTATTAATTTTTGTATTCCACACTGGTTACCACTTGACGGTAATTCTACTGTGCTCTACCAGCAGAGAAACTTTTGCTGAAGTATCAGAAACAGAGACTTCAATCTCTTGTGCTGGGATTTGTTTTCTAGATGAGAAGTTCTCAAAGAATGGGAAAGTGCACAGAGGTGAGGTTTTACAGAGAAACGTGATAGAAGTGTTCACCTGCTGATTCTTCTTGAGAAAGGGAAAGGAGCAGCCATGGAACTCATCTGGAGATGGGGAAACAAGCAAGCCCCAAGGTGTTTTAGGACTACTTATTATTATTTATACAAAATAGTCTAGTCTACACAGAAATATTCCAATTACACAGTGAAATTATCATATTCACTGATCAGAGTGCAAACTTAAGAGGCTGACCACTAGAAGAACAGTCATTCACCAACCATCAAGAATTCAGGTAAAATTCACACAGAAAGGAATACCAACTGCAAGGCTGTATTGGTGAGGACCTAATGCATCATTTCAACTTGCAGACTGAGGAAAAAAAAGCCTACTGACCTTCAGATGCCTGTATCACCCTTGGAGTCTGGATTTAGACTGTCCTTCAGTGTCACTTCAAATCATCAAAAAAGGAATTTGGCTACATCAAGGCTGGTACCTTTTACCTGTGAATCTGCCCCTGCCTTTCTCTTCATCCCATCTCAGAAATTCAAAATATACGGAAGGCTTTACTCTAATTTTGCCTTCATTCTTCTATGATCCCTCTCACTTCACTGCACAAACCTTCTCTTTCACAGCTATGATAGCAAATGATGTAATTGGAACACCTATCAACAGATAAATCAGTACTCTTAAGGACTATAAAGTTGGAATGTTTTGTGTATTTTTTAAGCCAAAATATTCAATCCATTCAACTGACAGTATATTTAAAACGTGACAAGGTGTCCAAGGCAGCAAAAAAGTAATTTCAATTTCACACACTGTGATATGTAGACATTTGAACAGCTTTGTTTCTTCTATCTTAAAGGCTGTTTTACTAGGTCTTTATCTGCTGAGACTTCACCAAGATGCTTATGAGCACTATTTTCAAGTCATAGAGAAATCAAGCATTTAATGGGAAAGTAAAAAGGAAGAAAATTAAATTTAAAGACACAACTGCAGTCTTTAAAGTTGCAGTTACATATAATCCAAAAGACAGAATGTGGTGACATTTACAAGAATATCATGGATACAATTAAGAATTCTATTTCATAAACCATCCAGCATTTTAATGAAAAAAGTTAATTCTCAATGGAATTTTAAAATGTAGATGAAGAAAAATTAACATGTAATTACACAGTGAAATTATCATAGCTTTATTTTAAAGTCAAAGGAGGGGAGTCTACAGTATCATTGCCACTTACAGCATCTTTTGTTAGTTTATTTTATACACTATTTTTATTTCAAGCTAAGATTTTTACATTGCACCAGCACAATCCCAAAATGTTAATCAACCATGCCTGACAGAATTCCCCAGTGACTTGCAGCAAGTGCTGATGCTTCCACTAATATCCAGTCTTGAGCAACTCACTTTTGTTAGATTTCCCAGGATGGTGAGTGTGCTTTAGTTTCATCCTTCCATTTCCTGATCACCTCTCCATGATTAACAGAGCTGAGATGCAGATAGAACTGAGCCTACATGTTCAGCTGCATCAGCTATGCACATACATTTTGTTCAGTATCTAAAAACCAAGTGTTTCTCCAGCTCTAGGAACCAGACCCATACATTACCACTTCTGATTCTTAATTAAAAACAGAATCAATTGAAATTAATTTTAATGCTTAATATAAAGAGCACAATTCAAAACCAGCAACAGATAACGAATCGTGTGGTTTCACTAACTGGATGTGTAAACTAACAATATTCAAATTAATAGCTGCAATATCCATTTAAAATATCTTTTAAGAAGCTCCCTTGACAAAGCAACTCCAAAATGCCTTGAACTCCTCCACAAAAACCCCAAAACAGCAGGGACAACATTAGATGCAGGAATTCTCAATAAAGTCTGTCTTGTAAAGAAATAACAAAAAGAACCAAAGACAAAGCTCCAGCATCCACTGACATCTCATCAAGAAATTGTTACCTGCTTTTAAAAGCACAGTTAATAGTTGTTGGGACACATACACTGGCTTTACCCTGAAAAGGTGGTATGAAATAAAGTCTGAACACGTGTGCAGATGTATTTGTGCATGTATCTTAAAGATCGTTCTGAAGGATGTGGTCTGATGCCATGTTTATTTAATTTTGCTCAATTCATTATTTCATTACTGTTATTTAATTAACACTGTTCCCTCAGAAAGATGAGGGGTGGGTTTTGTTCATTGCACATGGGTTCCTTTTACACTTCCAGCCCCAGGAGGACTGTCAGTAGTGGAAGACAGTGCTTACCTGCTGAGCCTGGTACCTCTGCTGGGCCTGCGACAGATACTGTGCCTGGGGTGGCAGGTGCTGGGGCTGCGGCTGCTGGTTGTAGTACGGCTGCTGGCCCTGCTGGCAGTAGCCACTTACACCTTGCTGACCATACTGAGGTGGGATCTGTTGGAAGAGCCAAGCAGAACAAATGCATGAATGGGAGCAGAAGGACACAAAATCAAGCTATGTCCCACCCGTATGGCAACCTCAGCACAAGTGATATCCTCAGCTGCACACCTGACCCAGCGGTCTGACTCCTTTACTCTGCAGTTAATGGGAGCCCTTAGATCCTCTTGCCTTAGCAGGAGGAGTAAGACCAAGTGCTCTGCATAGTTATTCTTTCCAGGAAGAGCTTCTAAGGGAAATGCTGTGCATCTGAACATCACAATTCTGTAATGCCCACCCATAAACCACAGAAGCAGTTACTTGAAATATTTGCTCTCCACGGGCGCATTACTGAGGCAAATCAACAGAGGAATCATTCTGATGTGCTGACCCAAAAGTTGATTTGTGGAAAAAAGGCACAATTCTTAAAAAAGACACTGAAAGAGAAATGCCTTTTGTCTTTTTTTTTTAATGCAATTTTACTGATTTTTATTTACTGTTTTGTGCGCAATCCTCAGGTTTTTAGTATTTTTGTATTTAAGCATTACACGAAGTCTTGGGGTTTGGCAAGATTTTGGTTTTGTCAAGTTCAATCTTTCTTAGTCTTCTCCCCCTGGTAAGATATATTTTTTAAAAATAAGAACAAAATAATGTGTTACACACCAGTTGGAACCAAAACCAAGTCAATTACAACGTCAGAGAAATTTTCTGCATTTGGTTTAGTCTGTAGGCCTTGTATCAATAGACACTGACATTTTCTCGAGGTATTTGAAAGAGCACACTTTCACTGGACTGCTGACATGGTGCCCAGATTTCCCTGGTTTTAGGTACCCATTCTTTTCCCCAATTTCTGGAATTTAATAGCATTTCAAAAAAATAACAGGTGCAGCACACGACTTCTCCCTTCTAGAATGGACCTTCCATTGGTCCTGCACGTCCCTGCCCAAGCGTCTCAAATACCTGAGCACATCTGAAATGCTTTGATCTCTGAACTGTTCCCACTGAGTTTCTGATACAATGATAAATCTGCTTATTCAACAAGAAAACACACACCTGTTTTACCTAAAGTTAATTTACTACATTCATTCAACAGTATTTGTTAGATAATAATAATAATAATAATAATAATAATAATAATAAACAAAGTTAAATCTAAACACCTGCTTAGGCTGTTTTTATTATCACAACTTGATCTGCTTCTATTACTTCTGCCAGAAGTTAGCAGTCCTACCTCTTGGTTACTCCTAAGGTCAGCACTGTAACCCCACTCCTGCACTTGCTCTTTGCCTTCACTTCCATTTCCTTTCCCATCATTTCACAGGCAGCTGAATGTTTCTGTGACCAAAGCAACCCTTTCTGACAAATACCCTCTCCCCGATGATGCATAAATGAGGTCTTTATAATGCAAACTAAAAAGGGTGTGCTAGAATATCATCAGGCAAACAGACAGCTGGAGTCTGGGATCTGACAGAAGACCACATGGTGATTTGCCCATCATCTGCAAAGGTCACAGAGCCTGGATTGGTTCCTAGTAAATGCTGAGAAGAACCTATGTTGTGGTCCATCTGGGTTCCAGTTACACTGGGAAGAAAAGGAAAGATACCCAGACAGCAAAATATGGGCTGGTGGAAAAAAAAAAAAAAAAAAAAGGAAAAAAAAAAGGAAGAAAACTTGAATGCCCAGTTGACAGGATGGTAACAAAGCGAAAGATCAGATGAATTAACAACCAGAATAATTCTATAATAAAGAACAGGAGTTCACCTGAACATAGGAGCCAGGTCACTGGTACATAAAGTGCAAGAAAATGAAATTTTAAAATGAAGAGGGGATTAGAACACATAGTTAAAATGTGTGGTATTGTTATGTCAAATGAAGACATGGAGATTCTGGGTCATCAAGCAAAGATGCTGAGAAGAATCAAAGGATGAAAAATGGATATGTGACTGCAGAGTAAATAGAGTGGCAATAAGAATTTCCAACAATACATGGACTTCTACAAAAGGAGGGGTAGACTGGATCACTGGAACATCAAATTGCAAACAAAAGCACTAATAGTAGTCATATAAGAAATACGATAGAAAGAAAAAATTCGTGGGTCACCTGTAGGCATCATCATCCTAGGACAGAAATTCAGGGAGAAGACCGCTAATAACAAAGTAATATTATATGCTACATAGCATTTAAAAGCTAATCAAAATAAAACTCCACCTCACTGAGCAGCAGAGGTCTGGAGCTTGGTCAGATCAAGATTGAGTGCTGGAACCACCATGCATGGCCAGACTGCAACAACGCTGACAGCAGCACACTAGCAAGATCAGCAAAAGGCATGCCGCAAGATTGATTAGGGGGAGATTTCAACTCCTCCCAGACGGACTGAATAAGCAGACTACAAAGCTGAGACCAAAGTATCAGATAACTGTCAAGGGTTGTTCCATGAAACTGCTGGTTAAGGAACCTGCATGAGGAGCCACTGCCGCCACTGCCTTTGGCTCAGTCCAGAGCAGCAAGAATCATCTACTACTGCATCTTGCAGATGCAGAACTGCTGTGCATCAGTGACCATTAACAGAGTTAAATTGAGCATCCCTACAGGAACAACGAAACCCAAGGAATCTACTACTGTCGTGCTTAACTTCAGAAAGTGTAACCACACAAAAATGAGAAAGCTTGTTAAAAGGAATCTCTAACAGACAGCTATGAGAAATCAAATCTGACTGGCAGCATCAAAGCTGTTTAACAACAACCACATGGAAAGCACAGAAACAATATTCACCACCCATTCAGAAAGATTTGATAAGAGCAAAAGGACACCAGCAAGGCTCACTGCAGCTTTCTAGAGGCAAAGAGGCATCCCCTTCAATAAGCCAGCACCGGGTCCAAATGAGGAAAACAGAAAAGACTGTAAACTCTGGCACTTCAAATGTAATAAGACAGGCCAGAAAGAACTGTTGTAACAGCTAGAAAAGGGAATCAAATGAGTAATGATTCATTTCTTCAAACACATCAGAAGTAGGAGGTCTGCCAGAGTCTGAAGTGACGAATGATGATGAAGGTATAAGGGGAGATACAGAGAGCACAATACCATCACAGAGAAGCTTAACAAAATCTTTGGCTCTAGTGTGCACTGTGGAAAAATCTTGGGGTGTTGCCATGCTGGAGTCCTTTGTGAGGGACTTGATAAATGTCTCTGAATCTGATGGGACTTTTCATGGAATAAAGTGACAAATGAGCAGTCAGAAGTGGCTCGGGACCATAAAGTATCCCTCCAGAGGTCTAATCAAATTCAAAAAGCTGAATTACTAATGATCATATACAGCCTCTAAATTGGAGCTGCCTTGGTGGGTGAGAACTGCAGTACAGCTTAAAAAGAAAACTCAGAGATTTGAGTAATTTAAGACTACATAACACTGATGACTGTTCTGGATAAATCAGGGCAGATAAGAATGAAGATGAAATTTAGGAAACATCAACACAGCAAAAGAAAATCTCTCTCTACTGACTTCTTGAACTTACTAGGAAGGGTCAGACAAAAAGGTTCAGGAAAACGCAACAAGAATCATCATCATAATTCCATAGAAAGAATCTATAACCTTCTGAAGATGGAAAAGACACCAGGAAGTAGGAACATGACGGAAAGCTACAAAAGCATCTTGTCCAACAACAATTAGGATGCATTCAATAGCAGAAGCAAACTTCAAAACAAGAGAGAAACAGGTTCTTTAGTCACAGAGGTAGCAGATGTTTAGAACTCCTTGCCAAATTGATGTTTTGAAAGCTGAAAGTTTCTGTGGGCTCAAGCAAAGACTGGACAAGTTCACAGAGAGACATCCTCTGAGGGTTACCAAATTTATAGAGACACATCTGGCTCAGGAAGTCCCTGAACTGAAAATAGCTGGAGGCTTGAAGAGTACTGGGGGAGAGTACCACATGCTTGCTTTGCTCCGACTCTCCTCTAGGCCTGCAATTAAAGCCTCCACTGGAGGCAGGATATACTGGGCTACATGAGCCCTTTATCTGCCCTGACAGAGCCATGCCTACCTTCTCACCTCTTCCAAAAAGACAGGCCAGCCCTCAGAGACAACAACGGAACTTTGGTCTGTGAGATACTAAGTAACAAATGTAAGCAACCTGAAGAGGCAGTAAGACCTCGACTGCCAAAGCTCTGAGACTGCTCCATTTTCTTAAATATTTTCCCAAGCTATCTGATTTCAGACACTGGTTTAAGAAAGGGTACCAGGTTCTTCTTCTGATCTTACATACCAGTTACTTATGTTAGAATTTTCTTCCATATCCTCTCAATCCAAACTGTTTTAAAAAATGAGCCAAATACCACCACATGAAATACAGCAAAAATCATAATGCTACATGTATGTTTGGATGCTTTTCTCTTCCGTGCAGAGACTCATCACCACAGCCTTAGCAGAACACTCCATATAATTGCTGTGGCTATTTAAATAAATAACAAACAACAACATGCAAATTAATCCTCCCGCTTTACTGACGGGGATCACAAGATACCGCTTATGGACAAATGTTTATTAAACAGCATAAAAAAAAAAAAAAAAAAAAAAAAAAAAAAAAAAGAAAGAAAGAAAAAAAAGCTTAATTAAAATCTCCCCAGAACAAAACAAATCTAAAGCAAATTACTTAGAGTGCTTGGAGTGAATGACCCAAGCATCCTCTCTCTTCATAAAGTAAACCCTCCCTCCCCTTCTCCCTTACACCCACATTTTTTTGTGCCCACACAATGCAGGAGACAAGAATTTGGCAAACTTCATCATCCCTGTGGTAGTGAAGACATTCTGGGGACAGCTGAAGAGAGAACAGTCCTGAGTTTGAATCTATTTCTAGGCAAGCACAGAAACTCTAATAATTACTTTGAACTCCTATCTGACTTGCACAGTATAAACAGCATTATTTTGAGAGAAGTATGACTGACCATCACTGATTACACCACTCTGAACACAAACAAAGAAAGGATGAGTATAAAAGGAACAAAATTGTCAGCCAAAATGCAGA